TAATATATTATATCGCCCAAGCGTTGACATAATATATTATGTATGCGACAATATACTGTTACTTCGTGCCACAGGCCACTGACACTAATACCATATATACGCTTCAAGCTACTGACTTGAAACGTATCGCCTGTTTTGTTTTGGTGTTGACCTCTGAGTTGGCCAAATAACGGTACAGTATGATTATCTGATTTATTTTTTATTTGTATTTGTGATTAATCTTCATCTTTTTGTGTATATTGTTTATCAGATATAGATCAAAACATTTATACAAATGTTGATGTTTATCGTAAAGCTGACGTCTGCCTTTGGAATTCTTTACATAGTCTTAAGGTACAAACTGAAAGAGAAAGACAACCTGTTGTTACAGCGGTGTATTACCTACATATCTCCACGACTGCTGTAGTATTTACTAGACTAAAATTCCAATTCATTCAAGGATATACATTCATAGTTCGTGGTTAGAAACGTTGCTATTTCTGGCTGTACATTCCAAATGTTTCGGCATATTTGTTTTTTTAAGGTGTGACAGCGCCTATGTGCAGCTGCCGTGTATACATTTTCTAAATCACGCGTAATTAAATTGGAATTTCACTGCAGTACCCCCCCCCCCCCCCCATACTGTTATACTACTAACGGTATCAGTATAAATCCACAGTTAACAATGTTAAGTGTACGTGCTTTTTGAATAAGCCCACTCTTTAAGACTGTTAAATGGTTCTATGTTGGCATGACGAGAGACGACGATTCTGTAAATGATTTCACCCTCAAGGAATCCAAGCGTTCTAAATAGAATAACCTGATGATGTATGGTTGAGATAATGTTGTTAGCAAGAAGGATTAAACATGTCTGATTCATATTATTATGTTAGTGTCTATCTCTAGGGATAAAGACAATATTAAATATTAAAACCATTCACCATGTCTTACTCTACTTATACTAACCTACTTTATACTGTAACGATCAGTTATTCAAGAAAAATTACAAAAAAATATATTTTTTGAAAATAGAAGAAACTCGTGGATGTGTAGGTTAGACGCTAGATTCACTAATTCAGTTCATTTAACATATTAAACAGCAGCGTTTATCATTGTTAATCGTATACTTTTTCGGAATCAACCCGTGGCGACATAATTTTGCCAGGGCAGCGACGTTTTACGAACAGAAATAAGGGCGTGCGATAAATATGAATCACTATAAATAATTACATCTGTCATGCACGAGACAGTATATGATTTCATGTTAAAGAACATCTGATACCACTTCTTATTTATATGTTTATGAAGTTCATACACAGCTAGCAATTGACATTATATATACGTTTGTATTGGATCATGTTACAGTAGTGTCAGCCGAAGAATATAAATTGGATATAAAGAATGTGGTTAGTCGTGTGATTATTCGGTCGTAATAGAATGGAAATTGACCAAACGGCTTTCACACCAATGTTTAACAAAGAGAGGTCAATATACTATACGTTATGTGGGTATTGTATGAACATAAAACAGACATATACAAATAATAAATAGTACAATAAGATCTGTTGACATTAAGATAATGATTGTTGACCAAAGACCAGGTTACAAAATGACCAGCACAAATATGTTTTTTATACTGATCTTTTAGACGTGGATATAGCATTTAAAGCGATCTGTCAATCACTCCCACCCCCTCTACACCATGAAAAATCACCGTTTTTGTGTAATGAAGTAGAATGGGTGAATAAGAATGAACCTATTATTACTACAATTTGATACCTTTTTATAATATATTTGATACAATTTATGGGTGTTTTTATAGAAAACTTGATGTCGGCCCGTGTGCGTGTGTTTCTGGTATATTTCTTGTTATGATATTGTGTTTGGTGCTGTCCTCCTGTATTTACTATTTGTGGAATGGGGTGGAATGAGGTGCTACGTCTTGTCGACACATTACTTGAACTTTATTACAGGCGAGGCAAAAAGTTGGCTGTAGCCAAAATATATATACAGATACAAATAGTATGCTTTGTAAATTAAACATGCGTAGATAACAAAAAAAAAAGTATAAATAACCCTACCCCTTTAGTGCACACTCCTATCAGGGAATGAATTTGAAACTAACATACGTGAGCAATAGAATTTTGCTTGAAATGTCAACATCACCCGGGACATTCTGTCCTAACCACACAACAACCACACACCCATTATAAATTTATAGGTTTATTGATCAAGACATAAAGTCGACACCACTATGCTACATTAAGACAAACGAAACTATTTATTTTTTAAATTACAAAGGATTTAAACTGTTTTGTCACCGTATTTCGTGTAAAGTTGGAGATCAATTGTCTTATCATATGCCAGTTACTTGTATTTGGTTTATACATCAAGAATAAAAATATCAAATATTTGACTGATTAGAAATAAGATAGGACACGGTAGACTATTATCGTATTAATGTAAAAGTCAATATTAACACTCTGGCCCTGATGGAGGCATAGCTTTGACTACTGTTATTTTTGTTATTTTTTTTTATTTGGTGTATTTACAATGAAACGAATTGCTGAAAAGACAAGCAGGTTATCTTTAATACAAGTTTCTTTTATTTTTTCGTTTATCTTACACAGACCAGTTCAACAAGTCAGTTAGTTACCGTCTATTTGCCACATTATTCTTATAAAGCTTCTGACGAGACACATTTTCTCAACCATATTTGATTGAAGACCTTCAGTAGAGAAGAGTCGGTTAGAACGTAAGTAGACACTGTAAAAACACATTACTAGGACATTTTATACAACTCGACAATATTCAACAGTTAACCAGTTTTCTTCAGACTGAATTTCATCAAACTGTATTATATTATATACGTTGTAATACGTAGACATATCACACAACCATTTAACTTTATAATTTTTAACAGGACTGACTATACAAATATAGCCGCATAGTATCGTGGCCATTCGAATACTATGGATTTGTTCAATATAAATCTTTGGTGATAACCTCTATATGCCCATTTCTTATACACGACCCTGTTAACACTCTTGAAACTACAAAATTCTTTCTAAAATTTAGAGGAAGAATCCTATTGGTTGTCAATAATTACTAAACAGTCGTCACTATCTGATCTTTTTTTATGTATACGGAAATTCACAGTGTGGAAGATGAAATACATTAATGACAATATTGGAAAATCTCTGATGTCCACACGATTTGAAATAAGATTGACTAATGACCGTTTTTTTGATGATTAACCAGATTTCGTAATAGTTTTTCATTGACTTGCTATGCGTGTAATCAATTCTGTTTTAACACAACTTCCTTGTGATGTTAGTTTTCTTTATTCACCAATTCGTCAAGTGTGGTGACTCAACGTTCTTCTTCTCCATTCTGTCATACATGTATTGTACCATAATGTTGAAAGTTTGCGTATGGTAATTAAGTACTTTATGTAAAATTTCTTTTGTTGGTATGTTGTCGACTGTCCTGACCGGGCGTTTTGCTGTCAGAAATCTTATCTTGTTCATAAATATGATACTGCAGGCCAACTAGCAAGTAGATCGGTGTACAATGACAAATAATTGATATATGACATGATTAGTATGATTAATTATAAAATATATGGTTACCAAGTATAGTAGAAGAGTAGTTTTTATCTTTATTTAATATATCATGGTGAACTATAATAAGTTATTATATATCATAGGCCTATATCCACAGTGATTTATAATATTATAAGTTTCGCACCTTGCACTATGTATATAAGCATATATGATAACCTATCCGTCCGTAGCCAAGGGTTTAATCAAAATATTGGTTTTGAAATAAATGTCATAAAATATTTATAGAGATTTTATAATTTTTATGGCTTATACTTTCGTCAGTATGTTTAATACAACTCATATCCTGTCTATGCACGTCATGCCCTGTTTACGCGGAAAACCTGAACAGAAAAAAACATTACGGGGGTCAGTAATTTTAGTAGTAATTACAGGTGTGGAAATTGGTAATGCTATGGTTCCTTTAATGTTTATTTACGCGGATTTATAAAATTGACCTTTCTCTTAAATTAATGGCCTGCTGACTAACGATCGATAATGGTTGAGTTAATAAAGAAACATGCCGAGATGATAAATAATGTGAAACCATCGAATATAAATATTAGAAGTTGTTATGGTCATGGTTTATTGATATTCTAATAGTTTGTATATTAATCATATATATATATATGTGTGTGTTTACATACACGTGGCAAATAACAAGTGTTGTTTTATACTGAGCTCGACACGATTAGTCCAAGGTCGAATGTGACAGAAATGACGGGGATTCCAAGCGAATTGTCATACGTGTTACATTTCAAGTTATAAGTGCAGGATAACCGCACCACACATTTAAATACTAGCATTAGCCATTTTTGTAAATATATATTTAACAAAAATAAGGGCTCAAAGATGTTCTTCATATAGCAATCTATAAAAAAAAACCTTGATCTCGATAGAAATGAATTATTCTTCTACAGAGAATTGACGTTCTACAGAAAAAGACGATTTCATAAACCCAACGGAAAATACAGATAACTTTAGAAATGAAATGAAAAGAAAAAAAGTTTAGCGTCCCACCTTTCTGCACCAATCGGGCTAATGGAAATGGGCATGCACCATGCAATGTGCAGTGAGGGACATTTTGCACGGGCAATGACTTTCCCTTACTTCCTCTTCATCGACTAGACACCTTTCCCTTGCCACACCCTTTTTACGACACCACTGATAAGAAGAAACCAGACTGGAAAATCCCATGGAGCTTTTTCAGTGGGGCGTTGGATGGTCATAACTTACGTTAGGATACATCGATTTTAACAATATTTTTGACCAATATGTCTTTTAATAAGACTTATATCTAAAGTATATATTTACCTTTTAAAGGTAAGACAGACGACAAACACACGGACAAGACAAAGCACATGAACATTGTAAGACATTAAGACACGATCAAATCAATTTTATTTTTGTATATTTCAGATCCTACCAGAAATGAAAGTAATTGCTGATTTACACTAAAAAGCCGACAAAATTGAACCCTAAAAACATCACGACACGTCATGCTGCAGTGTCAGGTTTCCAATCAACTTTCATCTTTAAGTATTAAAGACAATGGTTCTTCTGCTTACCCGATGTACGTAAGTACACGAGACCTAAAATTGGGACTTACAACATTCTGGCGCTCACCATATGGAACTGGCTCCAGAAAACGTGAATTTCCTACAGTGACACCGACAAAATCATGGAATGACGACACCCATTTACTCATGAATAATTCATCCGCGGAAAACAAAGTGAAAGGGATTTTAAAGTATGGTGCTTTGGTCGATTCAAGTTCGGAAGAATCAGACCCGAGTCGTAAAAAATTTAAGAAGACATTAAGAAGAGCCAGCTCGTTTACTGCCCAAAATATTTATACTAATCAAACATATAAAAAAGTGCAGTTTGGCAGACAAAACCACGAAGAAGTTCCCCAGAGCATTGTTGTGGATAAATCGGAGATTTCTGCTAGCCAGTGTTCACATAATCCGACTGACGTAACACTTGTAGAGCATAAAAACACACCAGACGGTGCACCTACGAGCCCGGTTTCTGTTCCAAATAAAAGTGTTAATTTGCCGAATTTAACCGAGAGTACCGTGACTTCTCGCCCAGCATCGGTCAACGGTGTTCCCAATAGTGGTCCTCAAAGTTCAAGCCCAACGGTTAGTCTTACTACACCTACTCACTCGCGAATTCCTAGACTTTGTCGATCATACACAGCTTTACCACTAAAAAATACAGCCGCGAATGAAAATAGTACAAATGTGCAGAAGAATTTGTATCGAGAACCGAACATCAAGGGTGCCGGAAACAGTCGCCCACGAACATGGGGTGGTACTCGCAGTGCAATCCTACCAGATCATACGAACTTTTGTAACAGGGAAAAGACAATTCGCATTCTAAAATGGCTACAAGATGTGGATGATAAACAGACGAAAGAAGGGAAATGTACAGTATTAATGAATAGTGTGGAACTATTAATACAATCAGATTTATAGTAGGCTACAGCTATAAACTAAAAGATAGCATGATTTAAACATTATTCATTGAGATTTCATTGTATGAGTAATCTTATTCACGGACAGCACAGGCCTTTCACTTTTTGTGGATATTTTTGAAAATAACTTATCGCTTGTCTGTTAATGATATAATTATTATGGAATTGGATAATTTCTCAGAAAAATGATTAGATTTATTCCAATATAGGCATATTGGAGAACGTTCTGTTTGTTAATATGCCTCTAGTAACTCCAGTTAAAATCTACGCGTGTCATAAACTTGAAATCTTTCACAATTCAACTAATTCTTAGCTTTCGTTTCATATATAGCTTTAAAGAATCGAAGAATTTGTGTTTAAATATTCATCAGGAACGATAACTCACCGAGACAATCGTTGACGTAGATCAATATGTGGATGTGAACCGCACCCTCTATAAGTGATTTGAATCTTTTTAAAACTGTAACAATTATTATTATTTTTTGTTGTAACCTACGCAAGCAAATGTTTCAGTTAGGCCCTATTCTTTGTTTGTTATGTTGCCCTGACTTTATTTATTTAAATGTGTTTTAGAATATTGAAAATATGGTTTTACTGAATCTGCTGTCTCTCTGTGCATTCCAAATGTTAAAGGTTTAATTCTAAAGAGCACCGCAACGTGTACAGAGAACCGGGCTGTTGGAAAGACTTGGGCACCACCATCAAGGGGAAATCACGCTGTAATTTTTTTCGAGTCACTTCCTCGACCAAAAAAGTTAGAACCTGGACGTATGATTATACTTATAATACAGATAGTCTGTATTCGGGGGTACTAAAGCTTATACCCCTCCTCACCCATGGCACCCGCTAAAAACCCCACCAAAATTCCCACAGATAAACATAAAGCATTTTTTTTTTATTCAAAGAATATGACAAAAACAGGGGAAGGGAAATAACTCTTATATCAGGCTTCACGACAGAGAATTCAATTGCTAAAGAAATAGAACTTAGTTCCACATCTAATTTAAAATCCACTTCATTTGGGCAATATAAATTGAGAAAAAATCCAGTTTTTGTTAAAATAATTGCCTGTTTGGAATAAAGCCCACCAAATTAATATCGAAAAGGGCATCCTTTCTTTTTCTGCTGTCTCTTTGTGCATTCCAAATGTTAAAGGTTTTATTCTAAAGAGCACTGCAACGTGTACAGAGAACCGGACTCACCCATGGCACCCACTAAAAACCCCACTAAAATTCCCATAGATAAACATAAAGCATTTTATTTTTTATTCAAAGAATATGACAAAAACAGGGGAATGGAAAAAAATCTTATATCAGGCTTCACGACAGAGAACTCAATTGCTAAAGAAATAGAACTTACATTTAATTTAAAATCCACTTCATTTGGACAATATAAATTGAGAAAAAATCCAGTTTATGTTAAAATAATTGCCAGTTTGGAATAAAGCCCACCAAATTTATATCGAAAAGGGCATCCTTTCTTTTTCTTATGGTTATGTAAACATATAAACTCAGAATTAGCAAGCGACTATACAGATAATATAGGAATTTCTACAAAATTAAAATTTGATATTTAAAACAAAAAACACAAATTCAATGATTTTGCAAATTAAAAAAACCAGCAGTGTGACGTCAGCCAATTGTTTTCAATTACGTCCGCGCTAATTAACCTTTATTAAGCTCAACGTCCAGATTATGTTTTTATTCTATTACTGATCATGAACGGTAAAGGAGCATGTAAGTACCCTCTCTCTCTTGTTTTGCTTGCTTTCAAGTCTTCTGAATTTCGGTAGGTTTCTGTCCTACGATGAGCATGGCGGGGGCTTTGCAGATGTTTGGTGATGCGCGGGCCAACAACTCTTGATTGTATTCCCAAAGACTCGATGGCCCTGTGCTCAGAAATGTGAAATTTTCTAATGAGGGTTTCTTTTTTTCTTTAGCATGGGGGTCCTTTTTAGTCTTGAGTAAGGGGAAATGGGCTGGAATAGCAGAAAACATGTCTAAGTTTCAAAATGTTCTTGTCGAGGGTCAGAATAAATGAAATGAAATAGGGTTTAACGTCCTACTGTTTTGCTCCGAACTGGGCTAATGAAGACGGGCATATGCCATACAGTGTGCTATGTGCTATGTACACGGGACCTGGGTTTTTCGTCCCATGCGAACGACTAGGCAGCTTTCCTTGTCAGTCCCTCCGTCCTGCATCACTGACAAGGGAGAACCACTCCAGAAAATCTGCAATGAACTTTCTCGGCCAATGCAGGGATCGAACACCCGACCTCCAGGCTAGCGGTCGAGCGTCTTAGCCACTTAGCCACCGTGATTCCCCAGGGTCAGAATAACTTTCGACAAAGCAATTTGTTCCTTCGGTGCTATTCAGTTGTACGTGACAAGGAGTAGGGTCGCCTGTTCAACCTCGTGGGTTTTCTCCGGGTCCTCCGGTTTCCCCCCACTGCTAAAGACCCCTACGCGCAAGCGAAGTATTGAAATGGAATTGAACCATATGTTAGTCCCTAAATGACCTAGTTTGTGTCAAGTGGACGTTAAACCCCATTTTTCTCTCTCTCCCTATATGCGCCAATATCGAAAGAAACTGACATCTTTTGGTTCTAAAAATACATTGTCAGTTTCATCAAAATCGTTCTGCTCCGACTTGACTAACAAAGATGGGCATCCGCCATACAATGTGCCTGTGCTATGAGGGAAATTCTTCCCGGAATTCTAACTGTCAAGGGATCTTACATGCACGCCAATGTGTACACGGGATCTCGGTTTTCGTCCTATCCGAACGACTATACGTTGTCCCTTTATTCTTTAACTTATAATTTTAATTTAATTTTCATGACAGACTTATTTTATATTTCTTTTAAGTCATTCATATGTCTCATAGATTAACAACTTGATAAATGCACATACAACATTCAAATATTGTATTTACCATCCCAAGAGCTCGTTCGGCATAACCACACCTAGAGCTCGTTCGGCATAACTATAGTTACTTTTACTGCCTAATGATTCTCATTGATTGAAACGTCGCCTCATTTATATTTAGTGGTGCCTCTGGTGTAGATTATGTATTTTTCCAGTTTCGACTTTGCAGTTGTGTTTTTCGATTGACACTTCAATCTAAATGGCCTTGGTTTGATACTATGAAGATGATCCGTTACCAAATTTGAATAACCCTTCCACGTAAGCTGGTGTTTAAATTAAACGCTTACAAATGTTATAATAGCTCTCGCATAAGTATTTAAATTCCAGGCATTTTGGAACCCACCAACGCGTAACCCCCGTCAAACGTTTGAATGAAGTAGTATGAAATGACTCCTTGGGTATTAAGTCTGTTCAACACTTTATCTTATATACGATAGATGGTGTATTAATTGTAGAAATTGTTATATAAGAATGGTTTTGCTGTTTGTTAGCAGTTGATCAGGATGGATAGTGTCACATATGAGATTTGGTCCCGTGACGGAGGACAGTCTTACATAGAACCTTATTGATTTTTATTGATTTTGAACTATAGTTATGTTATAAAGTCCACGTCTGTTGATCTGTCATTCCAGTGGCGGATCCAGGGGGGGGGGGGGGTGACTAGGGTGACTAGTCACCCCCCTGAGAGATTTAAAAAAACGCTAAATCGGACAAGTTTTGGGGTTTTCACTTTATTTCTTTGAGAACTATTGCCTAGAAGATACCTCAGATAGCACAAAATAGTATTAACTCCTTTGGCCCCCTTCTAGTGCCCCCGCCTTTGGTCGACCGCGCTTCGCCCCTGACCTCTTTTAGTCACCCCCTGGAATAAATCCTGGGTCCGCCACTGCATTCACGTCCATGTTAGCACACAGGAGGCAACAATAATTCATTTATCTTTCTTAAATTGATTTGGATCTAGATGAATATATAGAATATTGATAATGTTTTTACTGTTTGATTGTATCAGTACATCGTCGGGTGTTCGATCCCTGCATTGGCCGAGAAAGTTCATCCAGATTTTCCGGCGTGGTTTCCCCTTGTCAGTGATGCAAGACAAGGACAGCTGTCTAGTCGTTCGGTTGGGACGTAAAAACGGGGTCCCGTGTACACATTGGCGTGCACGTAAAAAATCCCTTGGCAGTTGGAATTCGATATAAGAGTAGGCCGTAGCGCCGCTGCCCGGGCAAAATTTCTCTCATAGCACATTGTTTGGCGTATGCCCGTCTTCATTAGCCCAGTTTAGGAGCAGAACAGTAGGACGTTAAACCCCATTTCATTTCATTTCATTTCGTATCAGTACATCCGTACAGCAATTCCCCGGTCTCTGTGCATTCTAAATTTTAAAGGTTTTATTTTAATGAGCACTGGCAGCATGTACAGAGAACCGGGTTGTTGGAAGGAATATAATAAAAAAAATTTAAACAGTGAATTTGATTTTATATGTTCATTTCGTTTTATGAAATGGTTATCTGTTACATTTAAAATCATATTTCCACTGACATTTTGTGTTTAGCCTAAGAAAAAATATAACAGTTTATGTAAAAATAACTTCCTTAGAAATTGTCATTTCGGAATAAAACTCACTAAATTATGGTTACATAAATATAATAACTCAGAATTAGTTACAAGCAAGCGACTTTACAGATAATCTATGAATTTCTACAAAATCTAATTTTATTTAAAACCGAAAATTTGATATTTAAAACAAAAAAGAAACACAAATTCGATGATTTTGCAAGTTAAAAGAACCAGCACCATGACGTCATACAATTGTTTTCGATTACGTCCGCGCTATTAACCTTTATAAACTCAACGTCCAGGACAAAAAACCTTTTATTACTGATCATGAACGGTGAAGGAGCATGTAAGTACCCTTTCTCTCTTGTTTTGCCTGCTTTCAAGTCTTTTGAGTTAGGTGCAATAACTAGTCTGAATTTCGGGCCAACTCCTTGATTGTATGCACCAACCAAGACGGCCCAGTGCACAAAATTTGATATGTGATATTTAAAATATAGATAAAATATACATTGTATTGAAATATTGTTAAAATTTCGAGGGTAACACCAGCATCCCCCAGGATCCAGGGCCGCGGATCAACCATGTGCAGGTAGGTTCCAGAACAAGTCAATGGGGAATGGCGTGGGGGGGCGGGGGGTGAGAATAAGAAGAATAAAAAAAAAAGTTTATGGCCTTGCAGTGCAACGCGAATCCCCCGGTATTGGGGTGGGTGTGGGTCCTCTCCGCTGGGAATTTTTTAAAGAAAGATTCGGTGAGGTGCAATTTGTGGTATATTCTGAGCGAGTAACACATGTTATTAGAACATAAGATTTAAGCGCCTATCGTGGTACGAATCCCAGCCAGTCGTATTTAAAGTCACACAGTCACTAATAAAATTCTGTATGACAAACCATTAATTAGCCAAAAGTCAATCAAGTTACAAACTCCAGTCAATCGTATCAATTTAGAATCTTGTCAACCCCAACGTTTGTTCTTTTGTCTTGAATTATGTCATATTTGGTGAATTGGTAAGAATGCCACACACCAAATTTCTGCATGGACTAGAAACATCAGGATATATCTAGAAAGTGCCATTTCATAGACAGTTTTTAAAACATTTCTCGCGCCAAATTTTTCATTTATTGTATACTTAAAATTGGGCAATACTTTGGTTTCTTTTAAGTTCTTATTTCCGTTATATTAACAATGCAGTACGTGTAACAGCATTTATCAAAAATGGTTTTAGCCAAAAACAGTGGCGCAAATTCAAGGAATAGAAAACAAGTAAAGACAGATTTTTAGATCTTACATAGATCCACATTGGAAAAAATATTATATGAGAGATAATCCGCGGCACATTACCCGTTCAGCATTGCAAATCATAATTAAATTTTCCCGTAATGTGGCCATGTTTTTATCAATGCGTAAAAACTATCCCCTGGACAGTCAGTATTACTAGCATCTCTGTGACCAAACAATCTATAATCTTTACTTATTTTCTTATTGGCAACTCCATATTCTATTAGGTTTTTAACTGTCTTTAAGGCCTTTTCATTTGGTATCTTATTCATAAAATTACCAATGACACTGATAGCGATGGCGATTTTGTTGTTTCCAGGTGTATGAGCGCCTTCTTTATCCCATCCACGACCTTCATAAACATTGCCATCTTCGCCAACAAGAAAACTGTAGCCAATATCAATCCAATTAACGCGTTTATTGGTGCCTTTCACTTTCGAAGCTAAAATAAATGATAGTATAAAATAATCTGGAGTCTGTCGTATGTTAAAGATAGCCACAAGCATGGAATACGCCCACACAGGAGATCTGTCTCAAGTGCAGCTTATTCGAAAGGAAAAATTGGATGTTGAGCGAATTTGATAAGAATCTATGACCCTTAAAGAAATCTAACCTCTAGGGTTCATCCTGGTATAACCCCATTGCTTGCAACCAAATTTGAAAAAAAAAATCTGTTAAAACCTATAGCCTCTATAACGTTCACACGGTTTTCGGCAAAGTGGGGATAATTCAGAAACGGAGGGCTGCGGATTATGAATATCGATAGGGATCGATGGCCCAAATGTTTTAAGGCAATATAAAAAAAGATTCATTTATTACAATATACGCCCACTTTAACATGTGCGGTATAAAAACTCTGATTTTTGTCGTACTACAAGCAGTGTGGCATAACTCTTATAAATATTGATCAGATTTGAAATGAAATGGGGTTTAACGTCTAGGGGCGGATCCAGGAATTTTTGCAGGAGGAGGTTTGCCAGGTTCCTGAGACAATGTATCCCCCCCCCCCTCCCGCATGTTCTCTTGTCGTCATTTTGGCGTATATATACATACACAATGAGCTTTTTAAACAGAGAAATTCAACATCTCGTTTGACGTGAATTTTTATTATGAATTAATACAATGACATTGTGATTCAATTTCATGGATGCAAAGCATTAATTGTGATATCACATAATGTCTATATCATTATCTCGTGCTTTGAGTGCCCATCCTGTCCCACATCTGACGATAAAGGATAAAGCACACGGCCGAGAAACTTTTCTCATAAAAAGTGTTGAAGACTGGCGTACGCCATAACAGTGTGGTATGAGGGAATTTCTTTTGCCCGAACAGGGGGCGCTACGGCCCACTCTTATATTGCATTCTAACTGCAAAGGGATTTTTTACGTGCATGCCAATATGTACACGGGACCTCGGTTTTTCGTACCATCCGAACGATTAGACAGTTGTTCTTGTCAGGCCCTCCGTCCTGCACCACTGACAAGGAAAGAAATATGGATCATGATCTTATCATAATGCAAGCTTCCTGAACGTTTCAGAAAAATCTGATCAAAACTGATTTTTACGAAAACATAATATCATAATACAACTTCCTGAATGTTTCAGAAAAAATTTGATCAAAACTCTGGATTCGAACGTGCTAGCAAGCATAAGAAGTGCTGTGGACAGGTTTCAGCAGCAAAACCCCCCAAAAAACAAGGTCATAACTATAAAAATATTTATCCGATATTGACGACAATAAATGGGTTCCCCATTTTATCATAATACAAGCTTCCTTAAAATCGGATGAACAATCCGGTTTTGGCGAAAAGAAATAGGGATCCTGGTCTTATCATAATACAATCTTCCGGAAAGTTTAAGAAAAATCTGATCAAAACTCGAGTCTCTATCGTGATGACAATCATAACAAGCCATTTGGGCAGGGTTCCGCATAAATTGGGCATAACTCTACAAATATTAGTTCGATTTTGACGAAAAGAAATAGGTATCCTCATCTTATCCGTTATACTCATGCTAAAATAAGTTTATTATTTTACATTTAATACATACTTCGTTTCAAATGATCTTTCTGGATCTGTCTGACAATTTTCAAACACTCTTCTTTGGTCAAACAATGTCCTCCTTCTGTGTGGTGAATAAAAACTTTAGAAACGGGTAAGTTGATTTGTTTTAACACGCATCTTTTCACTGTTGAGCCCCATTTCTCTCGACTTATTAAATTAAACTTTTCAGGTTCAGGATCTGAAAGATTATAAAATATTCCGTAATAATCATTCAAATGGCAAAATAATAGTTACAGCAGAGCAAAATAAAAGATTTAATGTTTCATCCTTTACATACCATCTTTGATACAACAACGCCGATTTTTGTCTCCTGCACATAAATTGCTGACATATTTCCCACCGACACACTCTGCTTTAGTTGAACACTCCCCGCCTCTTTCTGTGCATTTCTCATCACCTGTAACATTGTTCGAGATATAATTCAATTATTACAATTTGGTAAAATATTATTCTTGATATAATTTATTAAACCGTGTCTCTATAGCAAAGACAATGATTAAAAATCAAAATCTCGGTGGTTAGAAGATAGCTGCGTGTAACATTGATATGGCTAGAAAAAACATAAGTCACCAATGATGTTTTCATGAAATTCCACGTGTTACGTTTTGGCTATATTGAACTTATCTTGATCTGAAAAAAATGTTTAACGTTATTTATCATTTTGTGAGACTTCCCTTATATCGGTTATTTATTTTCTTGTGAGATTTCCCCCTTATCTGTAAGTTATCTCGTATTAAGGCCCGGTCCCAGTGGCCGATGGACACAAAACATATGCAAAAAGGACATAGCGAACGAGCAAACTTTCGGGGGTGGCTCCATCCGTTTTCATCCGCTCCAGAAATGGACAAAATTGACGAAAATTCGCGAAAACAGAACGGAAAAGAACGAACGTGGGAAGTATGTAGCGGGGATGTTAAATGGATGTTCATCGGAAGCCTAGCGGATGAAAGCGGATGGAAGTGGATGACAGCTCCGAAGGGGTTAGGCAAACTCCAGACATCCTTCAATATACCAGATACATCCCAGATACAAACGCTTTGTCCGTTTTGAAAACTTTATATACGAGATGCATATACTTACATCCTTTCTATTTCCGTGCTACTAACGATGTATAGACGTTCTATGTACCTTATCTTTCCTCCCTCTTTCCGTTTTCAGCTGGAGCGGATGTGAGTTGCGAGGATGCCCAGAGGATGCAGAGGGGATACAGTGGACGTTTAACGGATGATAACGGACATGGAACGTTTGGTGCTCGTATATGTTGCGCATTTACATCGTACACGGCAGAAAGTTCATCCGTTATAAAAGTTTTGTGCAGGTCAAAACTTTTTGCGCGGATGAAATCAAAGTGAACGGAGGCTCGATGGATAGAGCGTATGAAACACGTATGCAATGAGTACACAACGGATGCATGACGTTTTCAAACGGAGGGCACGTTTTTTCCCCGTTTTACATCCTCTTTACATCCGTAAGTGCAATGGGACCGGGCCTTTAGAAAATGAACGGTACCCTACATCTAGCCCCGGCTGTATGACGGTAAGTGATATGTACCCACGCCTATACAATTGCGATGCGGCACCGGTTTACTTATTAAGAAAACTTGCCATTACGTCGTTCAAAGAGTGTGTAAACTTTTCAGTGCAAACTTGTCCTCGTCTAAAGAAAATTGGATAAACTTGAGAGAAAAACAGCTTCAGGCTTTGTATGATAAAACATTCTTCAAAGGCGTCGTCATGGGATCCTGCATGTTTGACGAATCCCTAATCGTTAGAAATGACCATATTTTCAAAGAAGGGATTTATTACTTTTTATACGCAACACCAGAAAAACGATTTCCTAATCAAACACACGTGTTGTATAAACAATTGGAGGTTTTGAAAATTACGCATTTATTAAATAAGATTGGTAAAGATAATACTTACCTGGTAAGGGTGTGTATGAGGAATTTCTGGAAATGTTTCTAGTTATGGTTGTTTTGGTTACAGTCGTTACAATGGTTGTTTCAATTTCTATGGGGTATGACCTACTTGTTGTTCGACATGATTCCGTTGATGTGGTTTTCGTTGTTGTTAGGTCGTAATTTGTTGGGATGTGTTGTATTGATATGGTCTGGCATGATGTGGTTTTTTCGGGTGTGATTGGGTAAGTAGTATTTTCGCACTGTGTTACGTTTTCATCAGTTGCTTCTATTTCGTATCCTTCATCAACTCCTGCAGTTGTTGTGTCAATTCGTTCTGTTGACGGATCCAAAGTCGTTGGCACAAATTGTGGTGGTTCATCAGGAGATGAGGTGGAATTTGTAGGATATGATGCTATAGAAGATGTTGATGTTTGAGGATATAATGATGCTGGTTGAGATGATGATGCTGGAGAAGATGATGATGCTGGGGAAGATGTTGATGTTGGAGAAGATGTTGATGTTTGGGGATATGATGCTATTGGTTGAGATGATGATGCTGGAGCAGATGTTGATGTTGGAGGATATGATGAAGATGGAGAAGATGTTGATGTTGAAGTATATGAGGCTATTGGTTGAGATGATGATGGTGGAGCAGATGTTGATGTTTGAGGATATGATGATATTGGTTGAGATGATGAAGATTGAGAAGATCTTGATGTTGGGGGATATGATGATATTGGTTGAGATGATGATGCTGGAGCAGATGTTAATGCAGGAGGATATGATGATGTTGGTTGAGATGATGATGCTGGAGAAGATGTTGATGTTGGAGGATAGGATCCTATTGGTTGAGCTGTTGTGGGATCAGATGAAATGAGTGGTAATTGCGTTGGTTCTGATGACTGTGTTGAATTTGTTGATACTGATACGCCAGTATAATTGTTCACCATATCCGAATCTGTAGTGTTGTCAGGATACATAATATTTTTGCCTTGAATGATATAAATATTTATCTATACATTTTGTTCCTAACCTAAACGTGAAAATAAAATATACGCCAACGATTCATCATCTTATTACAATAGTAATAGTAATGCATACTCATTATTACAATATGATCTGTTTTCATCATTATGAAGATGGGTCAATTTAGGAAAACAATTGCACATTTCATTTCAATATGCGGGGCTTTGGCCCTTAAGTTTTTTTTCTTTAAAAAGGGTATGTTTGAGAATGAAAATACGTGTGCTCGACTTTTACAGACAATTTTTTCAACTGTTTCTCAATACAGTTGCCCCAAAACATTTTAGAAGGGTTAATAATTCCGTTTTAATCGAATACCTTCAAAGTATAGATATTATAAAACTGTCTTTTAAAACCTAACATTATTTATCCGTATGCCTACATTACCATTTTGTTCTCAAAAACGTCACTCCCCTTATAAAAGTAGCCGTGTTTTCAAATTTGAACCTACCTGAGCTTTCTGTAACGTAAGTACATACAACTACTAGAATCAGTTTCAGATGCAGTAATTGGGTTTTCGTAAGATTCATTTTCTGTGGATAGAAACAGGGCTTTATATTAGAATAAATTATATTCTATCCAGTATAGTCTTAGACTTCTGAAATCCAAACAATTGAGAAAGTTAGCTAAATGTTGTGGTGGATTTCGTTTACGGGATAAGTTATACTTACTCGTTCTAGAACACATTGTACATTTGTATTAGAGTTCCTTCATAATATACTATAAATATGAAATTAGAAGATTAAAACCCATTCTGTTTTAGACGGACTGTGAAAAGATGTTGAATAGTAGATGGCAATACACTTAAACATACATTATGCAAGAGCAAAATTGGCCTATTGTAGGTCTTTCTTTAGGCCTGAAATGTTATAAAAACTATTAATTAGACATTAATTAACCTATCCAGACCATAATCAGCTCTCGATGTCAAGGCTTGCCTGCGATATTTGTTGGATTACAGTCCGATTTGCTGCAAAACCTTCCTTCGTGATTAACGATTAAATGGATAATCAAGACTATTAGTTTTGTCTTATCGACTTCAGTCTTATCGACTTCATCCGCTTAGTTCTCGGTTCATAGTGGATCAATTTGACTGAAATTTTCAGAAAGTTGCCTTTACATTATGAAGTTTTTATACGACCACATTTTCATGTGGACGTATATTGTCGTCGCCCCTGTCCGTCCGTCCGTCCACAATTGTTTGTGAACAGTCTACAGGTCACAATTTTTATCCGATTTCAACGAAACTTGAAATATAGGTTTATCACCTTAAGATCTCGGTTCCTTTTTAGCTTGTGAACACTAGAGGTCACAATTTTTATCTGATTTGGTTTAAACTTGAAATGTATGCTTATGACCCAAAGATCTCGGTTCCTTTCCGATATTCGCGCATATCGGACCGTAACTTCATGAATTATGGCCCCCGATTGTACGAAAAATCGCGTTTTTAGCTTGTGGACACTATAGAGGTCATAATTTTTATCCGATTTAAAAAACCGTATTATTATATCACCGTTACACCCTAAGGACGGCTGAGTTCGAATTTCGTGAAAATTGGCCCAAAACTGACAGACAAAATGGCCGCCCTTCGTTCTCAAATAGCGTAAAAATATGGTATATCAAGGTTGTGGACCCTATAGAGGTCACAATTTTAATCCTATTTTGATGAAACTTGAAATGTAGGTTTATAACCCAAAGATCTTGGTTCCTTTCGATATTCGCACGTATCGGGACGTAACTTCCTGAATTATGGCCCCTGATTGTACGAAAAATCGCGTTTTTAGCTTGTGGACCCTATAGAGGTCATAATTTTTATCTGATTTAAAAAAACGTATTATTATATCACCGTTACACCCTAAGGACGGCTAAGTTCGAATTTTGTGAAAATCGGCACAAAACTGACAGACAAATGGTCGCCCTTCGTTCTCAAATGGCGTAAAAATATGGTATATCAAGGTTGTGGACCCTATAGAGGTCACAATTTTTATCCGATTTTGTTGAAACTTGAAATGTAATTCCTTTCGATATTTGCGCATATCGAATTATAATTTCCTGAATTATGGCCCTTGATTGTAGGAAAAATCACTTTCTTTTTAGCTTGTTCTCTATCCTGCCTGGCAGCCGCTGGTTAACTATTATAGTGAGAACTGCCAACTCGTTATCTAATCTTCCATAATGTATATTTAATGATTGTAAGCTCAATACCACGGACCAACTAATCACCGACATAAGCGGGGTTTTCCTTGTCAAAAGCGCCCAAAGTATTGAAAAAGTGATGGGGGGATCACGTGGCTAAGTGGGTAAGACGCTAGCTCGCTAGCCTGGAGGTCGGGTGTTCGATCCCTGCATTGGCCGAGAAAGTTCATCCAGATTTTCCGGCGTGGTTGTCCCTTGTCAGTGATGCAGGACGGAGGGGCTGACAAGGAAAGCTATCTAGTCGTTCGGATGGGACGAAAAACCGAGGTCCCGTGTACACATTGGCGTGCACGTAAAAGATCCCTTGGCAGTTGGAATTCGATATAAGAGTAGGCCGTAGTGCCGCTGTCCGGGCAAAATTTCCCTCATAGCACACTGTATGGCGTATGCCCGTCTTCATTAGCCCAGGTTAGGAGCAGAAAGATAGGACGTTAAACTCAATTTCATTTCATTTCATTTGAAAAAAGTGATGAAAGATATATTATACATGTAGATATACCCACTATTTCCAAGATTTAATGATTTCATAAACAATTGACAAAATTATGGATAATTGAACTTTTGATAAAGCGACGTAATATCGAAAACGATGAACACTGGATAAAGTACTTATAAAACCAATAAATGTGTGATTGATATTTTATGAACACATAAAAGATCCATGTTAATTCGAGCTGTAATCGCCCGTGCATGGTTAAATAGAACATGATACAAACAAGACACGAGATAATCATAACTACAAGAAACAATATACACGCTACTTAAAACAAACCAAAATGGTTACAATGAAAGCAGCCATCTCGAATCAATTCTGTGTACTGGGGTAAGTAGACAGGTAATAGAAACCCCCCCCCCCAAAAAAAACAGTCACCCGACCCCAAAATAGTTTTGGTCAGAACGACCGCATAAAGCTTAAATTCACCAATTTCATAAGTCAAATTTACTCCTTAGACCCGGATTTTATTTTTCTGTATAAGTTATTATTAATTGATTTCATATAAAAATTGTTTCGAACAATAATGTAATTTTTTTGATTTTCTAAAAGAAATTTTATCATCATATTAAAATACAACTGAATTAAACAAAGAAACAATTTACAAATCTTATATGACAAATGTCTGCTTTGTAAAACAATATTGATTTTAAGATACAAAATTTTATTTTAGTGTACAAATGTCCAAATACAACAACAAATTGAATGAAGAAATAAGAATAAAGAAAACTGAATAAAGAGCTGTTTGGTTATCCATAAGAAAGATATTGGCTCGATTGCTTAAAATTAGAACGAATAACGCATAATCAATAATAATAATAAAAAAAACCAAAGAAAAAAAAACCCCTCCAATGGGCAGTAATTAAAATTTTAACTATAAATAACATACCTTATTGCTGATAGATCACTCAATTCGCAAACGTTTTCCACCTATTGTCAACAGATTGATATCATCAAACAAACTAATATCGGATAAAGAACTTTCTCCTCCCAACATTTGTATTTATATCCTGTTATTCAGGTAAAAATAGAAAACGGATGTTGTTTGTTATTTTCCTTTTATCATGAAAATTGTTTTTCTTCTTTTAGAAAATAAAATCGAAGTTAATATATCCAGTTTTGATTTATTCAACCATAATAAAATCAGTCATGCGACACACTAAATGTTAACCAATCATATCACGACAATATACAAACACCAAAAATAATTTTTATAAAATAAAATACTAGGTATAGATCGTGACTGTCGTCGTAAAATACAATTGTCCACTCAAGGGTATCTTTAATGTATTCTCAATATGATATTTAGTTAAATGGTCACGATAATGAAATTAATTTACATTTTTGAAAAAATAAAACTAAGATTTAGTTTGTGATTTTTGATCTAATAATATTCTGGAATAACTGCCTTAAAATGTATCTGATAAACATGGAGATGATTATATATGGACTTCCCCTCCTTCGTTCATTAAAATATCACGTGTCATCGATGTCTCCGAACCACGCATAGCTCTTATACTGCTCAATATTCTTACAATTAGATGCATTCAGGACTATATACTGTGCTGTGAAAGGTATAAGCCATCCACTTTTTATATTCACAAGGATACAGGGTTTATCATACTGCAAGTGCGAAGAAAGCGACATAAATTAACTTTATACAGGGGCGGATCTAGGAATTTTGACAAGGGGGGGGGGGGCCGCAAAATGAGGGCACTGACCACGGAGACGGGGCACGCCGCTGAGGGGGGATTTTATTATTTTTTTGGGGGGTGGGGGAAGAAAATTATCCGTCATTTCCTTGCATCTGTAGCCATTCCAAGAACTATTTGGCTGATATTTTCGTCTAAGTAAACGTTCGGAAATCGTTGAAAAAGAGCCTTAAAATCGAGCAAAAAAGCCAGTTGAACATGCGACTCGAAAATTGTCAAGGAGAGCGAGGCATTATGATGGGAAAAAAGACTAATCTATTCCCTAGCCACTTCACTATTTAAGCCTTGTAACTTGTACTTTGTACTGTCCACACATGAAAAAATGCTACATCAAGTTGCACTCATGTGCGTCGGTGATGGGCAAACGTGTATACGCCGCCGATTCCACAAGATGTCTGTCTATAGTCACTCTAAAGGATTAGGGCACCGTCAGCTAAACTACAAGAATTCGTTTGAAAGTGGAAGCATTAATTAGACCAGACTGGTGTGTTTGAATCGATGGTTTAAGTCATTTGGGATCCCTGCAATGGGTTGGGAACGGACATATTTGGGTCTGAGAAAAGGCACTTTCCGCAGTAAAAAAGGGCACTGTCGAAAATTAGGGGGGGGGGGGCGCCTCTCGCGCCCCTCTTGAATCCGCCTCTGTTATATGAAATTATAAACCATTTTGCCCTCGAACACTTGTTGCAATTGATACCACCCAGTCTTACTTTATATAGTCAAAGAAACCAGAACAATGTCCCCAAATATTTCTGCAGAACTACTCTGTTTTCTTCGGATATTACCCAAGAATGGAATCAACTTGATCGTTCTAGCAGAACTTTACCCTTTCGGAAAGTTTCAAGAATTACATTATACCATATCCATATCTTCTGAATGCAAGATGTCGAGTGGCCGTTACCCGTATTTGAATATTGTGAATAGTGATAGTTTGTTGATCAGATATGTTAGCTATTTTATGTTCTGAAAGGTACACAATCCTCCTGAATTGCCCCGAGGAAACAATGCACCAGCAAAGAAAGACATCAACTGAAGTTTAAGTAGGGCATTTAATGTGATTCTTTCGAGAATAATAATAAAGGCTTAAATGGGCGAATTTAAGTCAAAACAACTATGGCTGGTAGAGGTCAATGTGAAAATCTTTGAGTGCCGCTCATTTAATTCCATGTTCAAGTTGTTCATAGAGCCGTGAAAACAGCGAATAAAGTCAGTATCTAGTTTAGCCTCCGTCAGCCTGGACCACCTTCTCATTTATACTGAATGGAAAGTTGGATCCGAGCCTGCGTTAGTCTATTACATTCATGGCGTAATGACTGTTCCAAATCATCAAGATCCTGGACTGGGTGATTCCACTATAGGATTTTACGCCCAAAAATCTCCCAGATATGCTCAATTGGATTTAGGTCAGGGTTTCTGGCTGGCCAAGGTAATGATCTAGCGTTGCCGTTCATTAAGATTGACATAGTGAGAAGAGGATGATTATCAATATGGGGCACTACAACCCTGTCTATGATCTTTTATTGGTGCCGTTGGCTATTTTAAAGTTTACCCCAACCATTACAAGCGAAATCTTTGTCATATAAAAGGAACCCCATGTGATGTTAGAGCCGTGGGCGAATGGAACCTGCTCCAGGATGTTCCTCTGTACATATGCCATACCCGTGCTTTACCATCTGCCAAGAACACGAGAAAACGACTCTCATCCGACCAGTGAATTCTTTGCTATGGTGACGCGCTCGACACCAGGCTAGTCGCGCAGCCTTAAGGTCAGGTGACAAGAGAGGTCGTCTGAAATTGCTTTCAATGCCATATTGAGCCGATTACAAGATTACGAACGAAAAGTTATGTAGGATATTTGGTGTGTGTGTGTGGGGGGGGGGGGTGTAACCATTCGTTTTGCGCAAATGATGACATCGAACGAGTCTCAATAGTGTTGCATCTTCTTTTGCAGACACGTCTTCATTAGCCCAGTTTAAGCAGAAGAGTAGGACGTTAAACCCCATAGACGTACTGCGAGGTCTACCAGAATGGTCGAAAGATGATGACCCAATTGTCGACCAATCTGTCTCATTGACATCTCAGCATTTCTCATGCCAGTAACTTGCCATCTTTAACATTTTCCTGAATGCAATGGCTGATATCCCGACATACTTTTCGTGACGCAAGGGGACCACGTTTTTCGTGCGCCGTAGGTCTGTTACGCGCTGCATTGACAGCTTTATTTACGTAATAAATTTCATTTGAGAGCACAAACCACACAAACAGTCGGGTGTTAAACTACTTTTTGTCTCTGTGTACTAGACTGTTTTAAGTAGTCTGTAATATTTGCTTCTAATTTTGTAAATATATTTATATGTATGTGTGATATACTTCAGGCTTTCTCACATATATAACCATATATTTTGCTCAATATAGTCGTTTGGTGTCCTGAGTCATTAAACACAGTTTCAGCATATATGTCAATGCTTTGAAGCCAACCAGTATCGTGAATAGTAGTCGCGCTGCAATTGGTGACATCACAAATTACTTGATTATTTTGGGTAGTTTGTTCTATTTATTGGCTTTCTCTTCCTCTTCTCTCGTTTTTGCATGCTCGTTATTGTTGAGTTTTTGGTTAATATTGATGGTTAAGAATGGAAAAGTCAGAGTTAAGAGGTTTGCTACGGTAATATACATGACAGCTAGTTACATGTTTACTATGCTAATTCAGATTTTCCCATGGGCAACCTTATACAAACTGTGGAGCAAAACATTGCCAGGTCTTGTTAGCCCGACGAAAAGTTAGGTTAGAGTTAATACCGGTACTGTATAAAAGTCAACGACAGAAAATTAAAATTTAGTGGTCTGTCGCAAATTGGTTACAGTGTCAATGAAATTAGGTAATAGCTCTACTTAAAGGGATCGATATAAAACTTCTTACGTTATCTTGAATATATGTACTTAAATAGGAACAAGAGACAGGGAGAAATGGGGTTTGACGTTCACTCGACATGCTGGGTCATTCTTATCCAGAAATAAATGAAAGGCTAAGAGAAGCCTTCAAGCCCGATCCGAATTTTAGTTCAAACAAACTTTGCTGTGCCACATTAGCATCTGAATTAGGACCTTCTAAATACCTTTTCGGAGATGAATTGGGAAAAAGAGTTAATGATCTCAAAGATGCCAGTTAAGTTAGGTCTAATGCATCTTATACAGGCACTCGCTATAATAGCCTGGGCCAAATAATAAAAGGCCTTTTTTAGGGTACAGGAAGGGCCGGAATCACCAGAACACTTCCAGGAGAGTAGGTCCAAGCCAAAAGTGGCAAAGAAGGGAGAAATATCAGAAAGAAACTCACAGAAAGTAATACTTGATCAAAATTCACCCAATTTAACATATTACTATTACAATTGGTTAATAATTTTCAATAATTTTAATATTTTGAATATTAGAAAACTTTAACATCAGATAAACATGTCTTAAATGATATCTAGGGTGTTAGTATACCCATGGACCTTATAATCCATATAAATTTGCACAAGACAAATGTTAAAACATATCTAAACAAATTTCAAAATTACTGAAAAAGGGAACTATTGAGGAAACTGGGCATGAAAAGAATGTATATATGTTTCTAATATATTCACAAGGGATAAAAAAGGATGGATCTTTACGAATCATACTTGATTTAAAACAGTTTAATGAAGAGGTGGTATATACTATAGGCATTTTAAAATGGACACCTTACAACATGCTCTAAATTTGATAATAACACCTTATTGTTATATGATATCAATAGATTGGTCAGATGCTTACTTTGCTGTCAATATAAAGAAATCGCACAGAAGATATCTCAAATTCATATGGAATAACAAACTCTTTCAATTTACTTGTTTACCCAATGGGTTAGGTTCGGCACCAATACAATTTACTAAGATAACAAAGGTGCTATTTTTATATATAAGTAAATTTGGGACATTTAAATACTTCCTTTATCGATGATTGTTTTTTGGTTGGAGACTTTTTACAAGACTGTAGAACTAATGTTACGGGTACAATTAATTGTTTTTTGTTAGCTGGGTTCACAATTCATCCTGAGAAATCATTCATCCTGAGAAATCAATGATCGAACCAATGCAATCAATTACTTACCTAGGTTTTGTTATAAATTCGGCCTAAATGACTATAAAATTAACACAAGCAAAAGCATTGCATTTAAAACAGGCTTGTAATGAATTATTGGGAGAAAATACTTCCACAATAAGGAAGTAAGCTCACATGATGGGCTATATGGTTT